TGAGTGTGGGGGGGGAGGGAGGGAGGAAATTTGAGGGGAGGAGAGGAAGGGAGGAAATTTGAGGGAGTGAGTGGGGGGGAGAGGGAGGGAAGGGAGGAAATGTGAGGGGGGGAGAGTAAGGGAGGAAATTTGAGGGAGTGAGGGGGGAGAGGAAGGGGGGAGGGAGGAAAAAGAGAAATTTGAGGGGAGAGGAAGAGAGAAATTGGAGGGGGGAGAAGGAAGGAAATGAGAGGGAGGGGGAGAAGGAAGGAAATGAGAGGGAGGAGGAGAAGAAGGAAATGAGAGGGAGGGGGAGAAGAAGGAAATGAGAGGGAGGGGGAGAAGGCAATGAGAGGGAGGGGGAGAAGAAGGAAATTGGAGAGGGGGGAGAAGAAGGAAATTGGAGAGGGGGGGAGAAGAAGGAAATTGACGGGGGTAGGGGGAGAGATTGACATCCATCACACACACACACACAATGCACCCCTTGCACACAGAAGAACACACAATGCATTACACACAGACACACATACACAAGCAATGCATCCCTTACACACAGCAACACACAATGCACCCCTTACACACACTCAGTGCATCCCTTACAGATGCACACACTGCATCCCATACATACACAAACTCACCTTGCAGCCCTTACAGCCCTTACACATACAAACACAGATTCACACAATGCATTCCTTACACACATCAGGACATCCCCCACACACACACACACCCCTGTGAACAAACTCATTGGTGGAACATAAAGGGGGACCATGGGACCCAGACCTTGAGCTGTGTAAAGGGCCCTCAAAAAAATGGAGCTGCTTCCCGTTCTCCCAGAACATTGATTTTTGTGACCACAGTTACAAACCGCCTCCAGAGAGCCTGTTCTACACCAGACCAGTGGAGCCAGATGGCAGCTAGAACCCATCATCATCCTCATCTGGTTGTAAGTAGGCAATCTAGTATATTATTCATGGCACTAATCTCTAATTTACCATTAAAGGGACACTATAGTCCCCAGAACCACTGCAGCTTAATGTAGTGGTTCTGGTGTCTATAGCCTGTCCCTGCAGGCCTTTTATTGTAAACACGGTGGCACTGCAGCACTGTGTTAGTTAACATGGCAGATCATATGGGTGGGGCATTGTGATGTCACATGGGGGGGCGGCAAACTTTACTTTTGCCTAGGGCGGCAAAAATCCTTGCACCGGCCCTGCAGACACTGCATCCCTGTGGGCGGACTCGGGAGGGGGACGGGGGATGGACTCGGGTCCCGGGGGGCCCAGACCTTGACCTGTGTCAGGGGCCCCAAAATTTCTGATGGCAGCCCTGTCCAAATATATATATATATATATATATACATACACACACACACACACACACACACTACAGCACCCCTCACACTGCACCACTACACACATTACGCTCCAGATACACACTAGATCCCTTACCCTATATGCACTCTTAATCCTCTATACACACACACACACACTGGGTCCTTTACACAGTAGATCTCCTACACACACACACTACATTCCTTGTCAGCAAACACATACAACATTCTCTAAACACACCCTCTCTGCAACCCCTACACACACTACGTCACCTATACACACACACTTCAGCCCCTAGCCACACATATTACACCACAAACACAAATTAAATTGACCTATTTATATAATACCACTCTACACACATGCAATCCCACAAGCAGGCTCCAAACAAGCAGGCTCCTGGCCCTTTTGTCCTCTGGTATCCCACTTGTGGAGACACCAGAGACAATTTAAAAGCAAACACAGCGCAAGCATGTTATTAAATTTGCTTGCGCTGCGCAGAATAAATTCAGGGCCTTTTTCTAATGCCAGAGCTCTTTAGCAGGGCTCTGGGCATTGAACCAACATGCTCACTTTGAGAGGGGGCGTGTTGTCATTAGTGATGACAAAACACACACTTTCTGGCCCCGCCCCCTTCTTAGGGGGCCGCTCTGATTGAAAAATGCCCGGGCCTAATTTTTTTCCCAGTCCGGCCCTGCTCAGCGGTGTTCGCGGAACTGTGTAGCTGATTTCAGTTCCATGAATTTGGCTACACACACCACTGACCACATTGAATAAAAAAAAGATGGCCGCCGCCACGTGTTCTTTTGTCGAATGGCTGCCCCCAGCGTTCGGCAATTTACCTACAGCAGGCTCCCAGCCTGGGAGGTAAATTGTCTGCACACTTCCACTTCTGGGT